AAAGTCCACAAGTCTTAAAGTTGCCAACTTTGAAGACCAAGTTTAAAGTCCACAAGTCTTAAAGTTGCCAACTTTGAAGACCAAGTTTAAAGTCTACAAGTCTTAAAGTTGCCAACTTTGAAGGCCTCCATCATACGGTCTTGCCTGCAGGGCTTAAGGGTGACCTGCTCCAGCTGTTCCCTATGGCCGCCTCACCCCCCCCTCTTCTCTCCTCTCTCCGGCAGGCCCTGTGCGGCTGCACCGTCAACATCCCCACGGTGGACGGGCGCGTCATCCCGCTGCCCTGCAGCGACATCATCAAGCCGGGCACCGTGAAGCGGCTGCGAGGGGAGGGGCTGCCTTTCCCCAAGGTGCCCTCCCAGCGCGGAGACTTGATTGTGGAGTTCAAAGTCCGCTTCCCCGACAGAATAGCCCCCCAGACCCGCCAAATCCTTAAGCAACACCTGCCCTGCTCCTAGAGATGCCTGGCCGGGCATCGCCTGCCCACCTCACGCGCTCTCTCTCTCTCTGCCAGCCAGCTCGCTCTCCGAGTAGCAGCCACGCTTCATGCTGTGCCACGTTGCACCTGGCCCTGGGGGGCTGCCCCGGCACCCTCCTGCCTCTGGCTGCGAGCCACGTCCTCCTCCTCCTCCTGCGAGGGGCCCTCTCTGCCCCGACCCCCCTCCTCCTCTGGCCGCTCGGCTCTTCGAGAGGTCCCCGTTTTTGGACCTGGTGTCCCTGCTTTGCGTGAGTCTCGGGGGTCCAGAGCTAGGGAGGGTCTCCCCAAATTTTGCCAAGGACACCAGAGCCCTGTAAATAGAAGCCCTTCTCTGCTTGCCTGCCGGCTCTGTCTGGATTGTGCCTCCCCAGAGCAGCCGGTGGGGGCCAACCTCGTCCTACACGCCAGGAGCCGGAATCCCCTTTCCTGTTTTGGGCACCGAGGAAGCCCCCCCCTCCGCGTCCCTCCCGTTTCTGTGCACACAGAGACCCTGAGATGTTGGCCGGACAGACCACCTCCAGCAAGCGTTGGGGTCACAACGAGGACCCGCCATTCAAGGGTGCTTCGGACTTTGTATTCGAATAGAACCTTCATGAGGACTAACCTCTTCTCGGCTGTGTTGGCTTTTCATCTGGATCCTGGGGAAGGGCTGGCGGGAGTGGCCCCGGACGGCTCCCTGGGGAAGGGGAGAAGGAAGGTGGGCTGCTGTTGAGCACTGCCGGAGGCTGGGAGGGGGTCTTGATATCGTCTGATGCTGGTGGGGGGGGGGAGGGATGTTGTGTGTTTCCTGGGAGGTGGGCGAAGGGCTGTGGGCACTGGGGGGGGGGGTCGAGAGGCCGCCTTTATTTTCACTTTTCAGAGGGAGAATTTTCAAGAAACGTTTCTTCATCTTTTGACGAGGATTATGCTGTGTTTTGGGCCGGGAGGGAGGGCTGGATCTGGGGGGGGGGGTTTCAGGGGAGGGGAGATAAGGGCCCGAGGGGCTTTACAAGAGGACATCTTCCCATCTTCTCCCCCCTCTTCCCCTCCCAAGTTCAAATCTTGGGTCAAGACTCTTTTTTTTGGGGGGGGGGATTTCCATCCACCCTTTTCAGTCTGAATTTTCTCTTGTCTGAAACTTAAGAGGTGCTTCCTTGGGGGGTCCCCTCAGTCTCTCCCTGCCAAGGCCCCCACTGGGTTGACCCTCCTTTGGGCTGGGTGGGGGGAGCCGAGGGGGCGCCCCCAGCCACTCCCTGTATAGTGTACGCAACCGAACGCTTCCCTCCCGTCAAGGCGAACGATGGTTTGGGACCCCCGGGAATGGCCAACTATCCTTGAGCCCCCTCCCTCCCTTGCTCCCTTCCTTTCTTTGGGCACCCTCTGGGGTGAGTGTGTGTGTGTGTGTTTTCCCACTACGTGGGCTGCTGACCCGGCAGGCCGAGATGAGGGAGGGTGGGGGGGCCATTCCTTGCTGGGTGCCCCCATTTCAGGGAGACCCTGGGTGGTTTTATAGCGTTTTTTTGGATTTTCTCCTTTTGTAATGTCCTGTATTAATATTTAAAAGAAAAATAAAGTATTTTAAAAACAGGGGGTTGTGTTGTCTGTGAAGCTCCAGGATGGCCCCCCCCCCCCGACTCTTGCGAGGAGCCCTGCAGGGAGAGCCCCCCCCCACGAGGCTTCTCAGGCACTGGCTGCCCTGGGGTGGGGGGCAGCTGTCACCCCACAGAGAAGGGCTGGCCGGGCTCTTTGCAAGTGGGGGGCACAGGACCCCTCCCCCTCTGCCCCCCCCCCAGGCTGAGTTGGGGCGTCTTTTGTCATCAAACGCCAAATTCTCACGGAAGTGCCTTTGCGAAGTCCTCGGCTTACAACAGTTCATTTAGTGCAGTGTTTCTCAACCTTGGCAACTTGGAAGATGTCCGGACTTCAACTCCCAGAATTCCCCAGCCAGCGAATGCTGGCTGGGGAATTCTGGGAGTNTTATTTTATTTTTCTGAGGCAATGTGCATTTCTTCAGTCCCCATCTGCAACCTCAGAGATCCTCTTCCAATTGTTCATAAGTATTATCAATCAGGAGATTTAATCATTGCTGCTATCATTTATCAGGTGTTATTTGTTTCAAATGAGATCACTTTTCAAAGTGTTCCTTCACACGATGTCCTTGATCAGTATCTGTAAGTATCCTTATTGTCATTCACAGACTCATATAATATTCCCTCCCTCCCTCCCTCCCTCCCTCCCTTCCTTCCTTCCTTCCTTCCTCCTTTTGTAAAATAGTTACCATACCAAATGATCCTTAGCCAGTGGTGGGATTCAAACCATTTAACAACCGGTTTGTCCAAACCAGTCTGAGCTGGCTGAATCCCACCCCTGTTCTTAAACATAAAGGTTCCCCTCACACATAAGTGCTAGTTGTTCCTGACTCTAGGGGGCGGTGATCATCTTTGTTTCAAACCCAAAGAGCCAGTGCTCTCCGAAGACGTTCTCATTGAAGGCACACAGAACACTGTTACCTTCCCACCAAAGGTGGTCCCTATATTTCTACTTGTGTTTTTACATGCTTTTGAAGTGCTAGATTGGCAGAAACTGGGACAAGTAATGAGAGCTCACTCTGTTATGTGACGTTAGGGATTTGAATCACAGAACTGCTGATCTTTCTTATTGACAAGCTCATCGTCTTAGCCACTGAATCACCATGTCCCCTCATTCCTGTCCTTAGCCATATCTTAATGCTAAAGCTAAGAGAGATTTAAACTCCCTGAATTCTGAAGTGTCAAATGAAGGAAGTATTGTTGCTTTTAATTTTACTATTACAAAAGTTATTTTCCATAAAGAACATTCACAGACCTTTGTGTCATTAAGAGAAAATCATGATTAATCCAAAGTAGGACTGTTCTGAAAATAGTCTATATATATCCTGGTACTTTCTGATTTTTTTCCCCCTTGCATGTCACTATGGAATGCAGAAAACTGTGGTGGGTAATGGAATTGGATTGTTATTTTTACAAAATACAAATGCTCAATGTCAATTTACTTTTACAAATGTTATAAGCATAAGATTGAAATCATATCTCCCCTTAGGGAGGTGGCGCAGTGGTTAAATGCAGCACTGCAGGCTACTTCAGCTGACTGCAGTTCAGCAGTTCGGCTGTTCAAATCTCACCGGCTCAGGGTTGACTCAGCCTTCCATCCTTCCGAGGTGGGTAAAATGAGGACCCGGATTGTTGGGGGCGATATGCTGACTCTGTAAACCGCTTAGAGAGGGCTGAAAGCCCTATGAAGCAGTATATAAGTCTAACTGCTAACTGCTATTATTCACTCTAGATAGGAATATTGCAAACAACCAAATTAATCCTGGAATACAGACTGCATATCTCACCATGAATAGGACAGTTTTCCAGAAAAAAGGACTTAAATAGAGAAAAAAGTGGGCTATAGAATAATTCCCCACATCAGTACTTTCCATCCATACAATCTAGGGCTATTGTACGGCTATCATATGCCAGATGACCAGAGTAAACAATAAGGACAACTATATAGGTAAAAAATTTTAAAAAATATTTACTATGTAATTATGAAGGAAAAATCATATTGACATTGTTTATAACTTTCACTGAAGGTTCCTCACTCATAATTACCAACACACCTTGGCTCTGGCATTTGCTGTAAAGGAGATTAATGAAGATCCTGGGGTTTTACCCAATGTTACCCTGGGTTTCCACATTGCTACCAACTATCCTGTGGAAAGTACAACTTAACATTTAGCAATGGAATTTCTATCTACAGAACATAAATTTATCCCCAACTACAAATGTAATGACCAGACCAATACAATAGCTGTCATTGGAGGACCCCAGACTAAAACCTGTGTCAACATGGCAACCGCTCTGTGTAACTACAAGTTTCCTCAAGTGAGATCATAACTGGAATATTGAGTTCTTGTGATGGGTTTTCTAAAACTTCAATACAACCAATTCATGATCTGCAATGGAAATCAACAACCACTGCTTTTCTTAAACATATTGAAACTTCCTGATACCAAGTTGTTAAACTAGTAAGAAATACTTTTATGCCTTTGGTATCAAATGCAAAATATTGACTTATGTGAAGCTTGAGGACTGCGTTCAAAAATTAAGCAAGGGTGACAACTAACAAACTTGTACATCACACACTTCACATTGATTGAAAAAAAATATCTTTTTTGCCTGTATTCTTTTTCCGTATTTAGATTTCATATGGATCAACTCCACTGATGAATAAGGAAAGAGCATCACATTTTGTCAAATGGATGTTCCCAGACGAGATCCACCAACTTAAAGGAATATTACACTTATTGTTGTATTTTGGATGGACCTGGGTTGGATTGATTTCTCTGTATGAGGAAGATAGAGAGAGGTTCATTCAAAAGAGCCTTTCAATATTTTCAGACAGAGGAATCTGTGTTGACTTTATGGAATGTCTACCCCAAATAATGTATGGTAGTAATGCTGCTGAAATGGTGGAGGAGGGACATAAAATATATAAAGTGATCATGGAGAGTACAGTCACTGCAGTGATCTTGAATGCTGAAGTTACAAGCATTATGATTTTGAGACTAATGATCTATATTTTAGATACTGATGATATTCCAAAGGAGAGAAAGGTCAAAGTTTGGATAATGGCAGCTCAGATGGATTTTACCTCCATTCTAATGCAAAGACACTTGCCCATTGATTTTCTCCATGGTGCTCTGTCCTTTGCAATTCATTCAAAAGACTTAACAGGTTTCCAAAAATTTATGTGGAAGAGAAGCCCGAACTTTGAAAAAGAAGATGGGTTCATAAGGGATTTTTGGAAAGATGCATTTGATTGTTCATTCCCCAGTGATATTACAGATGGGAATGCTGAAAGGATCTGCACTGGAGAAGAGAAGCTGGAGACTCTTCCTAATTCTGTCTTTGAGATCACTGTGAGTGCACATAGTTACAGCATCTACAATGCAGTATATGCTGTGGCACATACTCTGAGGGCCATACAGTCCCACACTTCCAAATTCAAAGAGGGTCAAATAATTGATGAGAGGAGATGGGAGATCTTTCTTCAATCACCATGGCAGGTAATGTTGCCTGATACAAAATTCATAAAGGTCATCATGTTATGTAAAAAGT